GAATCCCCCAAATTTGTGACCAGTCAATCAGAACTGTGGGTGGCCTGGGGATCCCCTGAACTTGCAGCTGACATCTGAAGTGAAAGCAGTCTTTTGGGGCACTATGCCCTTTAACTTGTGGGATCTGTACTAACTCCTAATGGTGAATGCCAGAATTGCATTACGGTACAGAGTACAGCAGCTGGTATTTAACAGAACATTGAATGAAGGAAGAACTCATCCTTCTCTCTGGAGCCTGGGCCGATTCCCTGGGCAGACTCCCGCAGTTCTTGCCCTAAGGATTTCCTCCTAACTCACCAGGTTCCCCTTCTTTTTCAGATGTCCTTGTCCCTGATTCTACTCCCAGCATCCTCACTGGGGGGCTTTGGTTTTCTGCTCCAACATTGCCCTCTTTCCTGCCAGCAAAGTGCAAGATGAAAGCATCTCTATGAGGTCAAAACCAACAATGTGCGTCCAACAATGTCCCAACAATGTCCCTCTCAGGCACGGGAAGGATCAAATTTGCTCAGAATTTGAGAGAATAACAAGTATATGTTTGGGAAGTGCAGAGTCATCTCAGTGTCGCTCTTCGTCTCTCACATTCTTTCATTTTGTCCCCAGCACCACCCCATAAGATGGGCAGGACAAGCTTATGAATTAGGGATTATCAGGAAGGACCTCAAACACCACTGAGTCCATCTCCCTTTATATAGGTTACCAAGCCCATGAAAGGTAGTAACAGAGCTGGGGGTGGAACCTAGGCCTCCTGACTCCTAACCCTATACCAGGCTACCTCCCCCTTGATGGGGCCCAGAGGCCCATGTGCTGTGGGCAGCCATCTGAGCCCTGTGCACTGCCATAGGTGTGCATGTGGAAGGCAGGGAAGCAAAAGAAGGAAAACTGAATAAATACACAGACAGAAGCAACAATACTTCCCACCCAGGTATACCCAAAGCCTCTCCCTGAGTCAGCCAGGACCCTGGAGGCCAAGAGGTTGTTTCAGCAGGGGGTGGCCAGGCCAGGTGTCAACCTCTAAGTCTAGAGATAGGCTCCAAACACCCCTAAGCTCATTTATAACTCATTAGACATCTTTTATCCATGATTTAATTTTGCTTGTTTGTTTAGAGACAGGGCCTCACTGTATTGCCCAGGCTGGAGTGCAGTGGCCTGATCATAGCTCACTGTAACTTCAAACGTCGGGCCTCAAGCAGTCCTCCCGCCTCAGCCTTCCAAAGTGCTGGGAGTATAGGCATGAGCCACCACGTGCCTGGCCATGATTTAATGTTTTGAAAAAATCCTATCTTGGCAGGAAATGGCCTTCCCTCTTCCCCAATTCTTGAAACTCAATTCATCCTTCAAAGAATTCTCAATGAGCCCACTGCCTCCATCGTTGCCATGAGAATTAATTGGTCCTTTTTCTGTGCTCCCACAATCCCTTGCCCATCTCAGCATGCACATGTCGTCTCTTAGATTAGACCATGAGCCTTGTTCATCTAATACTCACGTGCTTAGACCAGCACTTCTAGAGACCTAGTAGTGCTCAGAAAATGTTAACTAAGTGACTGACTGACTGAATCTATCCTTACGGACTCAAAGAGGAAAGACTGAATTCAACTTAATGCAAGCGCTGAATGAGAGCATTTGGCCGTGCACAATGCCAAATGCTGGCACACAGATCGCTGTCCTGTCTGTAAGGGGCTCATGACCTACCCAAGGAAAAAGTCACTGAAGTAAGTTATTATGATATAGACGTATCATATACTTTATTATATAAATAGTCTACTGTGGTACCTGGTACAGTAATAGTGTTTCGTGCCAAGTGAAATGAGGAGCCCGCACATTATACTGGTTTTTAAATGTATTTGAGCTGCTCTTATGGTCACCTTCTGAGCCTGCAGGGCTGGCCCACACCTGACTCTGGAGCCAGGCTGAGTCCAGTCCTAATCCTGCCTTGGCACTTGGAAGCTGTGAGACTGTGGAGCAAGTTGTTTCACTTACCTCCACTTCAGATGTCCTATCTGTAAAATGAGGGTGACGACAGTGCCTGCCTCACAGGACTGTCCAACAGATTAAATGGGATGGTGCCTGATGCTCAGCAGAGGCAGACATTAAGATTCTTACCAGGTGGCGGTCATGCTGCATCTCTTCCGCTGGCCCTCCAGGTCCTCTCTCCACCCTGTCCACGTAGA